TTTTTTTTTCATTGCAGATGAACTGCAGTTCATCAATGTACATGAGCACGAAAGCAGCAGTGGAATACAGTTAAGAGCCACTATCAACATTTTCTTTTACGGGCACATGGTGCCTTTGGTTGTTAGTATTATGACGATCTAGACTGAATAACTGAGATCAAGTTTGTTCTTAGAGTTTCGAACTGATCATATGATAATCTAGTCTCGTCATTCAATAGTTCCTGTATGACCTAGCATCTACCTAAAGCACAGCCTCTGATTATGATTCAACCTTCAGTTATCGTAGCCGAGACCCAAAGCAAACCGACTTTGTCAGTCCGTTATTATATCATTATTGAAAAAATTAAATTTTGTCTCTAGGGTATGTATGCCGTATTTAAAATTCTTAATTATTTAACGCGGGAACCTCAATAAAGCCAAGTCATTTAAAGAAGTTGAAAATGAATCACTCAGGAACTTGTTTGATATAAAGACCATTTTTGTTCAAATATACTTCAAATTCAACTAAACGCCGGGTCAAGAATAAGTTTAAAATAAACAAAGAGGCCGTTGAATTGAGAAAATAAGGAAATCACTTTAATGGAAAGAGATGAAAATTTGCAGTGGAAGAAACGGAAATCATAGCATATTCAATATCATAACCATCATGTGGTACCGGCTCAGTCTTATGTCTCGTACCCGGATGTTTCTCTTCTCTCTTAAGCGAGAGCAACGCACGTCAACCGGAAGTAGACTTTTTGCATTCTTGAACAGCTGTTTTTTTTTTTTTTTAATTTTCAGAGGAATCGTCTCTATAAGAGCAAAGACACTTAGCAATGCACATTTGGTAGCGTTAAGGTATATTAAAAGGGAAATTGCCTCACTTCCGGTTGACGTCCGTTGCTGAAAAACGTCTTTGCTTAAACTCCCTAGTCCCAGGTCGTCCCCAGGTCTTTTTGCTTAGAAATGGGGAGGGGCGATGTCACAATGATATGGGCATCTCCATTCCCAAAACCCTAGTGATATTAGCATCCCCTTCTCGGTTACAGGGGATGCACATGTCAGTAGGGTTTTGGGAATGGGGATGCCCATATCACTGTGACAGCACAAAGGGAAAGGACCTGGGCAAGAGGTTGGTGTGCGCAAAGGAAGGCAGGAAGGACAAAACGGCTTCACCTTTCACATCTTCTTTCCATTGTCCCTTGCGCTTTTTCACCTATCACTCGCATTTCGCGCTCACCTCTATGCGAAATAAGAAGAGCCTGAGGAGGAGGCAGGATGTGGATAATTATGATTAAGTTGTCAAGTCGACTGTAGCCTTCGTGGCTCTCGTGCGCCCCGAACCCCCTTTCCCTCTCCTATTAACTGAAACGACTGTCACGCAGGCTAAGCAGACTGTGAAAGCCGACCGTAAGAATTTGTTTTAGATCCAAGAAATCCTAATTCCTCACCGTTTAACAAACAAATGTTGACCCACATGTTGTTACTGCTGTGGGTGTCTGAAGTGACAAGATAAATTACGTACACACGCTTTTATTCAGGAGAAAGGGAGATGAAAGGAATGATTAAAGTAATCTCTTCATTCTCTGCTCTTTGAAACCTTTTTTGACCTGTGTCCCAAACTTTCCTCTTTGAATGATAACGAGCTCATCTGACCAGACGCTTGAATATGTAAACTGTCGCTTATACTTCTTTGTAAGGGCTTTTAGCATGTTTTAGGAGGGCTTGTAAACGAAGGGGTTTATCTCCGAGGGGGCTTATGATCAGAACAGAAAAAGCACCTTAAAAAAATTATAGCAGTCATAGCAACCATGATCAAAATACCTTATTCATATACTGGTTTTCAATCAAGCTTAAAAACTTCATAATAAATCGAATTCATTCCAGTACCTGTGGAGGGAGTTTATATCCGGGGTGGGGTTCATGATCATAATCGGATGTATTTTTTTAATACAGGCTGATGGGTCCATTACTAGGGGCGGCGGGGGGAACTTATAAGTGGCAGTTTACGGTCATAAAAATAACTGAATGATCTCACATAAACCGAAATATCCGACATTTTTTAAAGTTACAAATTTCAGTTTTTTTATTTCTCGGGAGTTGTTCTTTGGCGTTGTTTAAAATATAAAAATGAGCTTGCATGGCGAGAAGTAGAAAACGAAACAAATCGTACGCATACCCTCTTATTTCCAAACCTAGCCTGTTCCAGGCTCCGAGATAGTCGGGTCCGCTGAATTGAGAAAGCACAAACACGAAAATAAAACGGAAGGAAACTGGGGAGAGCAGGGGCATTGTGTAGCATTTTGGCACAAGGTAAAAGTCGTGTGTTGCCTACCGAACCGCTTTTTACACTCCAGATTGCTCTGACTGCTTGTATGTATGTATGTAAATCTTTATTGAAACACGGGAAATCATCAGTTAAGCTTAAGTTAAAAACTAAAACTAATTACAACTGCTTTACATGATTGCCGTGTGGGAATCCGATATATCAGCGGCTACCTTCTTGATATTTCGCTTAAAATGCTCAACGGATGGAGCATTTTTTAAGTTTTTGGGCAAGTTATTCCATAACATGGCCCCGCTGTAAGAGAAGCTTCGTTTCAAATAATTGGTGCTTCGTTTGGACAGGGTCAGCCTTCCCTCAGAGTTTCTTAAGTTGTAAGCAGAGTGACGCTGAGAGAAAAGACTTTGTAGATATTCTGGAGCAAGGTCATTCATGGTTTTATACATCATTAAGGCTTTTTGTTTCTTTCGTCGAAGAGATAGCCTCTCCCAGCTGAGGGTGGAGAGAAGGTGGTTTGAGCTCGCATCAAAGGGTGATTTAGTAATAACTCTGGCTGCACGATTCTGTAATTTTTGGAGCTTATCACTCAAGTAACCACTCAAACAGTCCCAGACGGGGCTGCAGTAATCAAAATGAGGCATAATTAAAGCGTTATAAATTTGAATTGCAGTTTCTTTGGATATAAAGGGCCGCACACGTTTTAGGGCGCCTATAGCTGAAGAGACTTTCTTGCAAATCTCTTCAACGTGTTTACCCCAAGAGAGTTGAGCATCTATGGTAAGACCCAAGGATTTGGTATGATCGACTCTCTTGATAATTTGGTCATCAATTCTGATTTCTACATCGTCACATTGGGCAGATAGTCTTTGTCTTGATCCAATAATCATTAGCTCTGTTTTAGCAACATTTAGACTGAGCTTGTTAGCTTTCAGCCAACAGCTAAGGTTATTTAATTCAGGGGTTAGAGCTAGCTTAAGCTCTGTTAACGTCTTAGCAGATAACGTAAGGTTGGTGTCATCGGCAAACATTCTTGGTACGGCGCCCCGCAGGGAGTTGGGAAGATCATTAATGTAAATTAAAAATAGCAAAGGACCCAATATGCTACCCTGCGGCACGCCGCAACTGAGGGTACGAGCAGATGATAGTTTGCCACTGACATTACATCTTTGGGTTCGGCCACTTAAGTACGACGAGAACCATTTTATAGCTGCCTGATCGACACCCAAGTATGACATCTTACGCAAGATGATCTCATGATCAATGGTGTCGAATGCCTTAGTAAGGTCAATAAAGACAACGCCATTTAGAAGGCCATTGTCGATGTTTACTGACCAAGCATTTGTTGCCTCAAGCAAAGCCGTGAGCGTACTATGTAGAGAACGGAACCCTGATTGGCAACCTAGTAGCAATTTATTATCATCTAGATAATGGAAAAGTTGATTATAAACAATTCTTTCAAAAACTTTCGAAATTATAGGGATTACAGATATTGGCCTGTAGTTGTTAGGGTCCGATTTAATGCCCTTTTTAAAAAGTGGAGTCACTTTGGCTGTTTTCCAATCGTTTGGATATATCCCAGTGAGAATAGACTTTGAGAATATTGAGGTAAGAGAGGGTGCGACGATATTAGCAGCCATTTTCAACAATTTACTCGGAATCATATCAAGACCGGTGGCTTTCTTTTCATCAATTTTCGACAAAACGTTAGAAACAATATCAACACTCGGAATTTGCAGAGAAAACGAATGATCAGTAGGCTTTAAATAAGACTCAGGATTAACATCGACAACAGGAATATCTTGTGCTAATACTTGCGCAACCTTTGTAAAGTGATCGTTAATAGTTTCGCGAGAAATTTGAGAAAGATTCCGACTCATTGACATTTCAACAGTTTGACAGCCGAAATCTAATTATCTCAAACGTGCCAAAAGTGGGCGGAAGAGGGTCGTAAAATAAATGATTACAGGCTCTCTCTCCCTTCCTTTTTCCTTTTTCCCGCCCCGCCAACTTTTCGCGTGCCTTTTCTTTCGCGTCTTCCCCACTATCTCAGAGCCTGGAACAGGCTGTTGCGTTACGGGAGTCACCGTGTTTCCAGCTGCCAGATACGAGCCGATTGTAAGAGAGGGATGGGGACGAGTTTACCCACCTCTCTCGTAATTATCCTTTGATATTACCGACAAAACATGAGGCTTCGCAACGGACTTTGTAGTTTTGTTATTGTGCAGAACCACTCGGTAGTCGAAACCCTAAACACAGTTTGCGTTTTTTGGGCCAAACAGTTCTTAGAGAAAAGTACCTGAAACTACAGACTGCACTAACCTACTGAAAGTGTCTTAGATGATCCATTGAAGTGATGTCGAATCAGCCGCATCACTTTCGTTCAATCGTGAAACTTAATGTCGGTGGCCAACACTTTACCACAAGCCTGCAAACGCTAACAAGAGATCCCAACTCGATGCTAGCAGCCATGTTTTCAGGAAGGCATGAGCTAGAGACTACTGAAGACGGTTCCTTCTCTTTATCGACCGAGATGGAACCTACTTCCGCTTTATATTAAATTATCTTCGGAATGGTGAGCTTATTTTACCAGAGGGTGCTACTTTCCTTAAGGAACTTGAAGCCGAAGCTAAGTTTTATCAACTGCAAGGTATTTTGGATGAACTGAAGCCTAAAGTACCAAAAGAGTTCGAGGAGTCGGTGATTTTGACAAATGAGGAGCATCGAAGAGTCTTGAAAGGCTGGTTTCCTGAGGCTATGAGGGGCGAATGGCGTTTGCTATTCCGAGCTTCACGATATGGCTTTGACGCTTCAATGTTTCATTCAAAGTGCGATCAGAGAGGACCTTCAATCACTGTTGTAAAAAGTGGAGAAAATATTTTTGGAGGCTTCACCGAGAAAGCTTGGAAAAGTAAGATAAATTAATATGATTGTAAAATACAAATTGGCAGTCTTTATTAAATCAAACGTAACTATGTGTTCACTCCAGATGAATTATAAGCATGTCGTATAGCTAGCGTGACAGGATTTTAAAAGAGAGGAAAAGAGGGAATTAGTATAGGTAATAGCATGACTTGTAGTGATATTTGGCATAAATACCACGAGTGATATTTCGAAATTGTTATAGGTAATTTCACGAGCCGTTAGGTGAGTGAAATTTGAGAGAATTTTGAAATATCACTGGTGTTATTTATGCCAAATATTACGTACAAATCATGCTATTATTTGTTTATACTACTACCCGCAAAGGTTTTGGAATTTTCACATGTAGGTATTTCAAATTAAGCTGAAATACCACTGCTCTAAGCCAATCAAATTTCAGAAATTTCTCATTTAGTAGTATGATAGTACTAAGCCACGCGAGTTGATGAAAAGTGCAACCTCGGGTATGTTCACACTATCTCGGATAGCTCTAAACCATACAGGATAATTAGGCTTCTGTTCACACATGAAAAAAGGGTGATTTTGGCGCCATTTCTGTAACAGCGCGAAGGTACCCCGCGCCGGTCTCTTCATTGCAGTGTGAAAAGGTATTGGGACCGCAGATGAAGTAATAGCTTGTTCCCGCTCTCTTACTTCGCGCCGCACTCCACTATCTGAACACCTGGAGCAGGCAACTGAAGTAAAGGAGTTGGAGCGAGGACTGAAACCCATTGAGATGGAAGTAAATACAGCACAACCCTGATAACTCGAACTCGGATATCTCGAACTGTTTTTTCGTTTCCCTTCAGAGTTCGAGTTACCGGGGTTCTATTTTACTCAGAGGTGAGGATTGGGATTTAGTGCACCAAACCCTCCCGGCTAACCGCTCTGGTACGATGTTAGATGTTTGTGAACAATTTGTCCCAGTTCATACTCTACCGGAGCGCTTTTTTCATGTCCGAGTCTGCACCAAAAAGCACAATTTTCCTTTCGCTTCAGCTGCGCCTGTCCTGCTGGCTACATTTCCTATAAATTCTACGATTGTAGTTTTGTGATACATTTGTTTGTGCATTGATCACTCTTCATTATTTCTTGACGTTAAATCTATTTAGGATGTTGGTAATTTCTTTATTTTACTACGCTGATGTTCACCCACGGCATCATGGATGGACATCTATGATTGGTGAAACAAAAAACTACACACAAAGCCAAAAACATTGTTAAATGGTTTAACTATGTATAATTTGAGAATTTTATAGAAGAACATTTGTTTTGTATCAACTTGAATAATGTCACACAATAAGAATTGACTATTTGTGTTTGTAAACTGGAAGCTGTAACATTTGGTTGGCCCTTAATAATATTATGAGTGTTCTTTTCTTACAAAATTATCTTAATAGCCGTAACAAACATCGGCCCTAAGCACAATCAAACTAGGAATGTTCATGATCATACCCCATCCGTTCAACATTCAACGGATGTTGGGACGGGGAAACTTTAAGTAGAATAAAAAGGTATGTCAATGGATTATGGAAATTTACACATGTGAGTATTTCATGCATACCAGCATATAGCATTTTTAGGTAGGATCACAGAATTCTGACGTCATTTACACGACTCTCTTAAGAACTGAAAAAGTACTAGTTTGACCTAAAATGTTTAGATATAAAAAAAACTTTGCGTGATATGATGTAAGTGTGAACGCTGTGGAAGTGAGCGTCAATCACCTATTGTGATGGAAAATGGGGTCTTCAAGGAGCCGCTTTACAGTTTCTTTCTGACAGCTGCTAATACTCGCACCTCATCCTAAGAACCCCAACAAGGTTCTCTTCTCCGCCTTTCTATTTCCAGTTAGCTCCGCTCAAGTTTAGTTTTTGGTCTCTCTCTTTGTCTTTTTTTCTTAGCTGTGTGCCCAGACTGCAGTCACTGTTTAACCCACAGTTAGCATAGTGTCTGTAGTAATACAATATGTAAGTCGATTGTCAGGGGTAATCACTGTTTTAGGTTGCCATGGATGTGTGTCATGTCACCAGTCCTTCCTGTTTAGTTTTGTAAACCCAAGTGGCCTGGTACCAACCAAATTTCCGCTTATCTCTGGGAGGGAAACCTATGCAATGTTCTGTGATCCCAACCATGGACCAGCGTTTGGTGGTGCAAAAGGGCCCGACCTGATCCTATCAAATGGTGCGCACTCAAATACTAATGAGAGCTATCTTGGCAGCAGCTATCGGCTCCCACCAGGACAGCCGTACTCATTCTTCACAGGTGATAATAAGTTCACTCTCACAGATTACGAGGTGTTTGGACTCCGTCAGTGACAACTACCAAGCAGGTAAATAAACTCTTATAGTTAAAATAATCCATGCTTTTTGCAAACGTTATAAAATCAAGGAAGTTAATGCCTCATTAGGAGTGCTAAGGTACTCAGGATAAAAAAGTTTCTTTAGTGTTGTTCGGCTTTAATTTAAGAGAGGTGCAAAGTGGCGTCAAATCAGAGCCGTAAATGAACTTGGCTTAATTTTCTCAAATAGGACCTGGTTTGAGTCAGCATACTTTAAACTTCTCAGAAAGAAATATTTTCTTCACCTTGACTATATGGTCTCCCTGAGTGCGACTTTTTGCAGTAAAAACCTCACCAATATAGCGCTTATTTCTTTTACTGCTTTTTGAAAGTGTTGACCCTCTTCCTGAAGAAGATTCTCGGGACATTTGACCATGTCCGCTGACTACAGGCGCTGTGTTTAGTTGTCGTTGTTAAATTGTAAAAGAAATATAACATAACGTGTGTCATTCCGAGATGCTCTAAAAAGAATCTTATTATCCGCCTTTCGTTTGGCTTTGTAACCGAGTGAGTCCAAAGCCTATGTTAGACCATTAATAGCATTTCTAGTCATAGGCACGGCGAAGTAATTCATCTGTTAAGAGAAATTTGGATTTGCCCGGCTTTGGTTTCCACTCTGTCCGTAGTGACTGGCCTCAAAAACGCGCATCATTTTGCTACTGATTTGTCTTGTACGTGTTTCCTACCAGGCCAGTACAAAAGAAATGGTAAGAAAAATTCCAGGGCAATAAATATTTCAATTAGCAAAACTGTTCCTCAGTTTCTGATACACCTAACTCTCGCTTCACACACACCTCGAATAAACTCACTTTTAAGCGCACTAACTCAAGGGTCTTAGAGTGTGCGCAATATTAAGGGGAGTTGACTGTATCGGCATTGAGTAAGCCAAAATAAAACTTGGACGCTAAGCTGTATAAGTACATGGAGTAAAGAATTGCAATTTAATGGTAGAGTGGAACCCCGTTAATACCGTCACCAAATGGGCCAAAACAATTTGACCGTATTAACGGGATGGCCGTTGTAATAAGGTTTTTTTTACAAGAAAATGTATGGTGGTTTTTGCCAGGCGGCCAAAAAAAGGTGACCGTAGTAACGAGGTGACCGTATTACCAAGGTGGCCGTTTCACCGCACATAAGATTTACCAAAATATCTTATAAATATATCCTATATGCTCAGTTTCAGACATGATGCCATTCTTCCTGTAAATGGATGTAATACAGTGTTCTTCATTAACATCACACAAAGTCTGTTTAAAAGTTAATCTGCACATACTCGCTACAAGGTTGGTAGGGGCTTCTTTGACTTTCTAAATATTTGTCTTCTTCTTTATTGCAGTTGAACTGCAGTACATCAGTGTACATGAGCACCAAAGCAACAGTGGATTACATATAAGAGTGACTATCGATATTTTCTTTTACAGGCACATGGTGCCTTTGGTTGTTAGTATGATGACGATCTAGACTGAATAACTGAGATCAAGTTTGTTCTTAGAGTTTCGAACTGATCATATGATAATCTAGTCTCGTGACTCAATAGTTCCTGTATGACCTAGCATCTACCTTAAGCACAGCAAGATTGGGATTTCAGCCTTCAGATATGGAAGTCAGTCCGTTCTTAATTATATCATGATAATTGAATTTTTTTTTTGTTCTAGGGTATGTATACCTTATTCAAAAACTTAATTTAACGCGGGAACCTCAATAAAGGCAAGAAGTTGAAAATGAACCACTCAGGAGCTTGTTATTTGGGCGTCGCCCAAAAGTTGCAATAGGCACGCAATACGTGCAAACGTAAACAAGCCAAGCGACGCGACTGTCTGCCGCGCAATGTGTTACGACACAGCATTTATTCTCGTTACAATAAGTCCCACAGCTAACGCACGGCAAACCAATCGGCAATAGAAATCAATCGTACTGAAAAAACAAGGTACACCAAGTGAAACAATCTATTAAATAATTTAAATTTCCCCTTTGGAAAATAATTGTCCTCGCAGCACACGGCGTGAATATCTTTATCCCGGACCATAGGTACCGGTCATTACCCATTTTTATTGTACAGACTATTTATTGCCACTAATGGCTTATTGCCAAGAGTTTGACAATATTGTTGCCCTCAGTTGTCGAGAAATCAACAAAACGGTTCCTCAGTCTATACACTAAACTCTCGTCTCACGAACCCCTAAAATAGTTTCAGACGTGATGTCATTCTTCCCTTACCCTACTGGTTACCAGATTCTGCGGGAATCTTCGGTGTCGGCCGAAGGTGGAAGCCACCAGTGGCGAAGCTTTTCGCGCACGTCACCATAAAGATTTGACAAAGACCGGAAACCGCGCAAGAAAAGTCTTTGGCACCCAGGGTATTCTTCCTTGGAATGGATAATACTACAGTGTCCTTCACTAATAATCTCATAAAATCTGTTAAAATTTGCTTTAAGGCTGTAGCTTACTCGCAACAAGGTAGGTACGATAGATCATAATAGGTCCTATTATAATCTCTTAGTTGGTAACGGCTTTTTTGAGGCTATGTTCACACTATTCCGGATAGCTTTTCGTGGGTGGTCTGGTATAAAGAACAAATGGCCCGGGGCGGCTGAAGTCGTTTACACACATCGAACATCGTGCCAGCACGATCGACCGAGAGAGTCTGGTGAACTAAATCCCAGTCCTCGAGCTTTCCACAAGTTGCTCGAAATGTCCTAAGAGGTTTCCCGCAATTTTTCAAAAAGTTGCGCAAAAGTTGCCCAAAAAAACGAAAACTTTTTTGCTGTTTGTGCAACAAAAGTATGATTTTTCTAAGCATTTTTGTGCAATTTTGCAGCGTAATCAGGAGCCCATAACCCACAAGTAAAACCAAAAAATGTATGAGTTAAACGACTACGCATCAATATTGAAATTAATCTTGTAAAATTCTAGTATGAGCCAATAAAATTGATGTCAGAATGACCTTCTTCACCTCACCTGAGACACTTGTGTCACTCGAGTGTGAATCAAGTTCCTCCGCCATTTTAAATTTTCTCAAAAACAACCGCTGACTTAGCAGCCTGGCTGCATGCATTTTGCGCTTATGAATCTGCTCCAGCGGGCTGCGGGGAGTATAGCTGATCACACTGCACCAAAGTATGGCACAAAACCTATCCACAAGGACACAAAATATAGCATAAGTGAGTTTATCTAATTTCTCCTCTCCTTAAATAAGGCGAATAATCTCGACCTTATTTTACGTCAGTAGCTGGGAATGGTTATCATCTGACTGGAAAATCTGAGGCCGAAGGTGTGCTCATTTTAGCCCTCCCCATCCATCATTGCTCCTTCGTACGGGTATTTACATACTCACTTAGGGCTTAACATTTTCTACTCATGTTTTGGGCGAACGTTTATTGCCTGTGGGTTTCTTTTTGCGCAATAATTCCGGCAAAAGTGTCGGACGATATGATTCTATAGGAAAATTCATTACCTGACGAGGGAATTCCACGTTAAATTGCACGCGAAAACCGATATCGCACCAATCGCGAAGCGATGAGTGCGATATCGGTTTTCAAGTGCAATTTAACGTGGAATTCGCGAGTCAGGTAATGGATTTTCCTAGAATCGCATAATTGAATAAAATCAGAATAAAGAAAAGAAAACAGCAATAATATTGTTTGTTTTTATCCTGAGCGCGCGCTCCAGAAAGCCATTTCAAACGGTCAACTGTCAGAACTCTCATTGCGTTAGCGATTAGGAAGCAAGGTCAGTCGTACACGTTTGAACCTTCGACAACTTTTTTGTACCTTGTGCTTGTTTTTACGTTTGTTTTCAAACTTTCTTACATGTAAACAAGCTTCACACTAATCGTAAGGATAAATAGTGCTATTTCACTGAATTTACAAGCCGTTTATCTATAAAATCTTTTTACAAACTGGTCATTTGCTCGCGAAGGAAAATAAATAAATTTACACCTTTTACCTCTTCAGTGGCAAAACTGAAAGAAATGAAGTGTCCAAGCGTCGCGATTGATATAAGGTAAGTACCTTAAAATGTTTTAGAAATGCTGTTCAAGTTCAGCTCTGTTTGTACCTTCTAAGTACCACGATTCAGGACGATTGCAAGCGGCGTACTCTTTTTCGTGTTTTCAGAGGCCATGTCGTCTTTGACTGGTATTTAATTCTTCTTCTGTATATGTGACAATCGACCCTGGCACTTCCTCCGTTGTCGCTTCTCCGTTTTGTTTGGTTGAACTTTGTCTTGCCATTTTCTGGGCCGTGTTCACAGGATTTTCTTGTTTTCTCGTTGTCGCGAGCGAAAGAGGGTTTTTAAACCTCTCCAAGAATTTGTAGTTCAGTTCAAAACAAGGAAGAACCTCCGGCTCACTTTAAAAAACGCTTTTGTTTGTTTTTAACCCTTCAAAAGGTAACAATGGTTTTGAAAACATTGTAAAATGACATCGTAGAAAACCTTTTTTGTAGTTGTTGTGTTAGAATTTGACGATAGTTGTTACGTAGATGCGAAACAGTATCGCTTAGCCCCGTTTTCAACTCGCAATTCCACACTAAATACCTTTAACTAAATATCTCGCTTCGTTAACCAATCAGAATGCGAGATTTCACTCAATTATGCGATTACAGTGTCTCAGATCGGCTTCTGCTCGGTCTCTACATGAGTCCGTTGATGGATGTGGTCTAGCCCTGGCTTCACAGGTGCCACAACAACATCGGTGGCTTGAAACACCTGATTCTGCCTTAACAGGAGCTGTCTACATCGGCGCCATCAAGGTAAGGGGTAACTTGATGAACGTGCCGTTAAATTGCGAGCAGCAAGAGGGCGTAAGGACGCAAATACTGCCTGTGATGCATGCGGAAGGGTTGGATCGCTGGGGCACGTCTTACATTCATGTCCAAGAACGCATGCTTCCCGCGTGGCACGACACAACAAAGTCGTCGAGCTTACAGCATCTAATGCTCGCAAGAAGGGCTGGGATGTCCTGGTTGAGCCAGTCAT